CGGAGGAGGCCAACTCTATGCGATCTGATGGGACGCAGGGAGGTAATTGGCAGAAGGCGGTCTCTCAAATAGCCAGAGGACGTGCTTAACAACCATGGTGTTCACTCATGACAAAAAGTTGTTGTAAAATCAGGTTGGTCACACGATGACCTCTTTAACCGGCATGACTTAAGACTGTCATTCTGTTTCAGTCACAAAGAATAAGGACCCCATTTTAAATTCTAGTTTAGCTGATTTATTGTTCGTGCCAGCTCACGAGCATCTAGTCAACTAATGCTCAGAACTAAATTGGTGCTAAAGAAGAGTTAATAGAACTCAAGAGGAATTGGACTTGAATCCCTTGTGAGAACATAATGGCTCTTATGGCACGCATGACCAAAGTGACATGGGGAAGCCATGTCACCTGGCATGCACAGCCTTGCCTGTTTTGTTTTCCGGGTTTCAGGCATGCATGGGCGCGCGATGATCAGCTGTCCTTCATGCGCATGCGCACGGGCTAGCTAATTGTCAGGTGCCAGGGCTCGATCCCTTCACATGCATGGCAGTGCTGAAAACCAGCCTGCGAATGCACACCATCGGGCATTCATACACGCTAGAACCTGGAAGTTTTATGGAGGACAGCCCCAAGAAGCGCGCAAGCAATGTTTGCACGCAACGTTTTTGACACTCGGTAGGCTGATTACTCTCTTGACTCCATCCTCAGGCTCTGCCTATGTTCTACGTTGCGGGCTCAGATAACAGAATAATGATATCAATTACAGTCACAAGTCAAGGACTACCTGTATTAAAGCAGTTACCCTCACCAATGACACTTGAATAGCATTATCATCCTTCCTAATAATCAACTCTTTATTACACTGAAGACATACATGGTCTTTTATTTTTATTTTTTACCCAAGATAGCGGCTCAGATTTGTCGTCAGGCAGGCTTGGTGAAGAAATCCAAAGATGTGGTCGACTACAGTGCTGACAACTTTGCCATTGTATTTGCAGCGATGGGAGTAAGTAATTAAATGCATGCAAAATTATTTTCTCCTTCGTTGCTAAGAAAAATGGGCGCCTCCATTACTCTTGAGATGGCTGCCAACTTTTTTTTTCCTTTTTGCTAAAAAAATAAAAATCAGGGGGGGGGAAAGGACAAAAACGTATGAACGTAAGTAAGGCATCTTTATAAAGTCTACGGTGATATTTTCCGTAAGCTGAGTTTCGATTGGCTTCATCTCCTTGCCTTTACTCCAGGTGAACATGGAAACAGCCCGGTTTTTCAAATCCGACTTTGAAGAAAACGGATCCATGGACAACGTGTGTCTGTTCTTGAATTTGGCTAACGATCCAACGTGAGTGGGCTGGAATCTTCATTCTTGGATTTCGTCTTGTATATTAATCATCTTACCAAAAGTGCGGCCTTTAATAGTAAGGCTGGGGGATTCTGAAAGTTGGAAGTCCACAGGACTTAAAGTCGCCAAGGTTGTGAAATACTGGTTTAGACAGTCTTCAGACAGAAAGCAAGTCCTTCACTTTGACATAATTCGTTTAATGGAGCTCATTATTTTTTCCAGCATTGAACGGATAATCACTCCTCGTCTTGCCCTGACTGCTGCAGAGTTTTTGGCTTACCAGTGTGAGAAACATGTGTTGGTCATTCTGACAGATATGAGTTCCTACGCAGAAGCTCTGAGAGAGGTACACGTTTAGCCTTATCGATTAGACAACTGTTGAACTGTGCAGCCAAATATTCTCCCCAGCTTGAATTTTCTAACTTGTAAGGGCACAAAATTAACTAAGCAACCGGAGGTTTTGGTTTCTGAGAAGAATTACTACAGAATATTCTGGCATTATTATCTTTCATATCTAGCATGAATGAATTCAAAAGGGCATTTAGTAGAAGCGTGTGGTATTCAGATCCTCAGCGGGTATGAAAACCTGTTGCATGCCTATCAGCTGGACCAGGAGTCTGCAACTTTAAACATTCAAAAGAGCCTATTGGACCTGTTTCCTACATAAAAGAAAATACTAGGAGTCACAAAACCTGGGTGGGTGTCGCCAACTCGACATCACTCATTTCCATCCAGTCACGTGACACACACACACCCAGCCATGGCTACCCAGGTTTTGAGGCTCCCAGTATTTTCTTTTCTCTGGGAAACATATCTCTCTCTCTCTCCCTCCATCTCTCTCCTCTCTCTTTCTCTCTCATGCGTGATTCCTCTTGAACCATTTCAAAAAAGGGTTGGGATTTGGTTTTTGTTGTTGTTGTTGTTTTTTGCTGGTTGTTCTTCTTCTTTGGGTGCTTTTTACCATATGATTTAAATCAAGAGCCGTTTTAGGTTCTGGTAGGTAAGCGTTGTGAGAGTTGTGTTGGAGAACACACAAACCAGCATACAGAGACACTGCAGTTTTAATAGGCTTTTACTTTCGTGGAAATAGAGGTATCAGTCCATCAAACAGTCCAAGTCATACACGGATAAGACAGTCAGTCATCAATGTCTTTCAGTTAAGGGATAATCCCAATAACATAGTCCAGCATCATATAATCAGTTCGCTACACAAAGTTTGCTAACAGTTGCAAAACTTAACAATTGCTCACGGCACTCAGCTCAAATCAGCATCTAACGAACAGAGAGCTAACAATCGTTCTGGCTCCCTCTTATGGCCGATTGAGGAAAACAGCAACCAATCAC